CTCGACTTGAGACCAACTCGAGTTGCAACCAGAGTCACGGAACGGATTAAGTTCGTATCCCGAGGTACCACTGTACTAAATGATGGTAGAAAAGAAGTACATAAAGTCAAATTCTGTGTTGCCATCTAGTGGTTGCCTGGCTGTTTGCAGCTAAGATCTGGTGGCCCTACATGAATTGAGTAACAGTTGCTATTAAAGTCAGTGTGACTTGCTTCTGAGTAAAATGCCCATGACTAGAATCACTTTACTAACAGTGGAGCATCCCAGCTGAGAATGTTATGTAAGAAGGAAAAAATGAGAGACATGTCACTAATGATTGAAGAAGCATCGTACACAAAACCAGAACAGCCCCATAAGTCCTGTTAGAAGAAGACTGAGCCTATAGCCTTATGCCTCTTTCTGTGCTTATGGGAATTATGATCCTGTTTCCCTAAGTTCTGTATCAAGGTATGGAGTTTCTCCCAGTAGGAACATCTGGAACAGAACTTTCACCTGTTGTTCTACACGATTTTTGGCAGGAATGGACTTACCATTAGTTCAAATGAGGCAGTTGTCCCAGGCACCAAGTTTTGTCTGTCATGCAAATTATTTCCTATTTCCTGCAATGCATTGGGAAAGCAATTTTTGGGATTTTCTTCCTGACATGCTAAAATAACCTGTCTATTGGCTGATTTGGGATATGGTGATTCTTAATTTGGGTATCTGGGAATGCCATTTGCTGCTTATGGCAGTCAGAAAAATGCTTTGGCAAGATCTGAATGCTGGAGAACAGGATTGTTTGTGTGCTGTCACCATATTTACAACCACATTTGTCATAAGTTGATATTTCAGAGACACTTCAGAGTCCCTTATTCTAATTCTGCAAGGATGCAGAAATCAGCATTTCTCTGATCACAGGTGCTATAATCTTACCCCCTTTCCCCACCCCACTCCCACCCCCACCGGTCTGATAAAGGCTGGTGGCTTCTGGGAATGCAATGACCAATCTAGATTTTAGGAATTTCTCCATAAGCCTTATTCTTACAAACATGACTTTTGATAGATAGCTGTGCTTTTCCTTTAATAAGAGGTTATATGAGAAAAGAGGGGTGTAAAATGACTGTGAAGTCATGTTCATAGTCTTAGATATGGCTGATCAACACTTCCTGCTTGCCCTGGTGCAAGCATGGCCCACTAACCATCTCTCAAGGACAGGAACTCATGACATCATTCTTAACCTGCCCCCATCCCACAATGAAGGCAACTTCCATGTGTTTTTTCTCGGCCTGCATCATATATAGCACTTCCCAACTTGTGCTGCTATAAGCCATGTTGGGTAGTTAGTCTCCTTGCATCATCCTGGTGAAATGGTGAAAGGCTGAACTTTTGTTTTGTTTTAATTTTTTGACACAAGTGCACTGATAAAGTGGTGAATTGAAAAAAAGAAAACCAGGTGAAATTGCCAGATGTTCTGTGAATTCCCATTTCTAACCCAGTAAGAGGAGAAATAGTTAAAGTGTAGTGTTTTGTTTTTTTATCAGTTTTCTGATGGAGATGCCAGATTGGAAGGTACTAAGCAGGGAGTCACCAGAAGTGGGCTCATGGAAAGATCCACCTGTGGAAACCACGTGGCCTCAAAGATCCACCCATAGAAAGGAAATAATTGCTTTCTCAGTGCAAGGGAGAGAAGCAAAGCAGCAGGGAAATCCACTAATCAGGGGTTGTGGTAATCACTGTCTGGATACAATACCTGACTAGCATCCTTGTCAAAGCTGAAGAATGACTGAAATCCAGACAGCAATTTCTTAAACAGGATTCACTTCCAGCTTGTTTCAGCCTGGGAGACAAGCAGCATAAGGCTGCCATGTAGGATTACCCATACTCTATTTTACTCAGCAAGATAATCTTTATGGCTTGGTAGTAATCCCTTTTTGAGCATAAACCTTATATATAATGCAAAATTATATTCACAAGAAGTCCAGGATACAAGTGTATTGACAAAGCAGAAGATTGGCAAGGAGTGGTGTGGAGTGCTGTTTCTCTCGGCATGTACAAGAAATACAGGTATGCTTATGGACCATCTGGGAGACTTCCCAAATGGATGTGCTCAGAATAATAGAGGAATGTGCCAACTGATTAAAGTCCCAATATTTTTGGAGAGCAAAGATGTTGTCAGAACCTCCAGCAATCAATCCAACAGCTCATTAGTTGCTTGCTTCGCTTCTGCCATTTTTCTCTAAGTGGGAGGGGGATAAAAGGAAAGTAAAACTGTTAACACAGATAGACTATTATCTACGGCCAGGAATGTCCAAGGTCATACCAACATGAGACCCAACAACTGGCTGAGGAGCAGGGGGGTTAAGAAGTGAGGGTAAAAGTAGATTGGGAATGCATGGGCTTTTTAGTTTCAGCAATGCTTTGAAGCTGCATGTACGTCTCAATAAATGAATTTCTTTTTGAACTTGACTTGGGTTTCAAGGGATTTTTCTTCACTGGGATTTGAACATCGTAGATCCAACAGATGCATTCTGGGAATTATAATATCAAAATATTTACGGGGCATCTGGCTGGATGATATAGCTCTATACCAGCCTCTCCCTGATCCCCACATAAATTATTTCCCCTGTTATTACAGGTTCACCCCAGTTTCTTCAAGCAAAGATGAATTCCAGTGTGAGAACGCAAGACAATCTGAGGGATTGGAACAGGCAGAGGCTTTGACAAATCAGGTGACAATTCAAACTGCAGCAAAGTCATAGCAAGTACCACTTTCATCTCATTCATGGCAAACTGTTGTCCAATGCAGTTCCTGAAAGGACAAGGAAAGTTGGTTACCAAAGGTACCTCTGCTTAGAAATTCATTTCCAAATTCCAAACCTTCTCTTTAGACCACAGTTCCCTAAACTGGTATCTTACAGTTGTCCTAGGACTCCCAACTCCCAAAATTCTCTGATAGCTAATTTATTTTGCCCTGAGTGTCCTTTGAAAGATGCTAGTAAGTACAATAGCAACATTCTAAGCATGCTTCTGGGAAGATGTTGTGGTCTTCTACTATGGATTACCTTTTCCTTTTTTTAAAGACCCAGAAACCACTTTGGACTGATATTCTAGGAAATTCTGCAAGTAATAAAAAGTGGAGTCCCCTGCAAAGAGTATTGCTTTTTCTACCACCACTTCTGCCACCAAAGACAGTGAAAAGAACCGATAATTTTAAAAAGGAGAAGACACCTACTGCTACTGCCAAGAAAAAGAAAGGCCTCTACATTTTGTACCCACTTTTCTTTTTCCACTTTTATATTCCACGAATATAAAATGCAGTTCTTTGGAACTAAAAGTCCTATCGAAAGAATGTTCACCTGAGCACTAGCTCATTTTGTTCACCTACCAAAGAAATCTATTCATAGGCATCAACAAGATGGCTTCATTTTGTGTAGCTCAGTCTTTGGCAAGACATGGACAAAGACAATCTGGATCAATTCAGTATGCTTATATCTATCTCACCTTATATCCAACTCACCTTGGCCCAGCAGAGAAAGGAAGGAAAGCATGAGAATTTCTGCTGGTTATATTCTCAGGAGAAAATCTCAGTGGGTCAAACACCTAAAAACAAAAAAAAGTTGTTTCATTATTTAAAAAAAACTTCTCATTTTCAAAAGCTGGTTACAAAAGAAATATTCAGTCATTTTAATTGACCAAGTTGTTAGAGACATCAATCTCTATCAAGTGCCATAAAAAGAGAAAATTAGGATCACTTCAGTTGGTCTTTGGGACATATGAACACATACAAAGCTGTCTTAAACTGAGTCAGACCAGCAGTCCAACTTGTTCTGTACTGTCTACTGTACAATGAGGGGCAATTACTCTTTAGGCCTTCAAGCAAGAGACTTTCCAATCCACATCTGGAAATGCTTGGAATGGAATCTGGGAGCTTCTGCACACAAACATGAATTCTACCATCAAGTAGTTGCCCTGGGACAAATCTTAAAAATATTTTTGCAGGGAGTAATCCAGGGCTGAGTTGCTTTGTTAATACTAAATGTTTTGCAAAATCAGTCTTTTGCATTATTTTTATAGATTTTGTTTGCGTTAATCTTAAGTACCAACTAGTTGGACACAGAAGGGAACTGTGACTACTCCTGACTTTGCTTTAGTCAGCTGAAAGGACATTGCTGGCTTTTGGGGAAAATAGTTATAATGTCACGAAGTACTGTACCTCTGGATTATCCCATATACTGGGGTTCTTGTGGATAAGATGAATGCTTATCACAGCCCAAGAGCCTGTGAAACAATCAATACGGAAAAGGAGTCAAGTTGGATTGCATGTAATGAGATGACAATAACAGCTCTGATGGACTCAGTGCTGGAGGTTTTGTGTCCATTTGTTGATGGACACATAATCCTATACAAAAATGGTAGGGACTTGAGACTCCATGATGTTGCTGAACTAAAACAGTAGTTCCAGCTAGTGTATTCAAAGATGAAAGTAGAGTTGTAGGAGTTATAGTTTAACAACATCTTGAGAGAGACACATTTCCACCTCTGCTTATTTGTTTATTTATATATAGCCCACTTTTCTCTGAAACAGGAATTGCCAATTTTTTGGGCACCAATGCCCTGTTTTGATTGCTTAGAAATCTACATACCTCCCCACGAGAATATCTGTTAAATCTAAACCATTTTGCATAAGCCTAAAAGTCTCTTTTCACACCTCATTTTCCAAGCAATTTGCCACTAATCCTCCCCAACCTCCCCAATCTTCATAACATCTTTCCTCTCTCCTTCCCATCAGTTGTCCAGTCTTCCAACCATATACCCACCAATATTGCAACTCTTCCATTCTATTAATCCACCCATCTACACCCACCTTTCCAGTTCATTAGATCTTTGTTTGAAAATGACTAATTTTTAATACTATTTTTTTCTTAAAAAACACATATCCTCACAAACACTCCATCTGGAATGTTTTCATCGCCCCCACACAAGAGGCTTGCTCTCAAGTATAAGTATTCCTTCTCCAAATGTTCAAAAGGCATGAGTAGGTTGTTCTCCAAAGATTGTTTTGTTGTTTTGTTCACCTCTGTACGTACACCCACAATAAAATTACAAAGCAGTGGAAGAGTACAATTTGTTCACAACTTTATCTTGTAATCAGAGTTAACACTCCTGTAGTGTTAACATGCAACATAGCTTTTTAAAAATGTTTAATTGATAATAAAAGTTTTCTCCTGCTTTCTGTATCACATTAACATTATCCAAAAATGACATGAAGATCTGGATGGATTATCCTGTACTTCTTCACTTGGAAACGAACTCCACTCTTTTCAGTGGCACTTTTAATCTTGTCTTCATTATAATGGAACTTTAGCCATGGATGCACCATTTTCTGTTCCCTAAGTAATAAAAATACTGGCAATGCCTCAAAAATGGAAGAACTCCCAATGTAGCTTCTGCACTAGCCCTACATGAAAATATTGCTTTATTTTTTTTATTATTATTATTTAAAGTTTTAAGAATTCTTCTGACCTCTTGGTGGTTTTCAATACCCTCCTAAAATCCTTCTGAATTTATTGTTTGAACTGGGGATCTTGAGAATGATTCCATAAAGGACTGATTCCAGAAAAAAAGTACAGGTAGTCCTTGAGTTACGACTGCAACTGGGACTGGAATTGCCATCACTAAGCAATGTGGTCATAAAGCATGATGTCATGTGACTGCATCACTTAGCAATGGCAATCCAGGCAGTCCCGGTTGTTGTATTGACTTTGTGGGAAGCCGGCAAGGAAGGTCACAAATGGCAATCACATGATGTAAATGTGAGCTGGTTGCCAAGTGCTCAAATTTTTTTTCACTTGATTGCAGGGGCACTGCAATGGCCGGAACTTCAAGGACAAGTCGTAAGTCCCTTCGTTCAGCACCATCGTAACTTTGAATGGTTGCTGAATGAATGGTCATAATTTGAGGACTACCTGTATAAGAGAAACTACTGCTCAGCCTATTAGCATTTATACTATGGAATCCCATTTGGATGGCCTACATTTTATTAATTTACTTGGATATCTCAGCAGCTTTCAGTACCCTCAGCCATACTATCTTTCTAGGTAAGGCTTCTCAACAAAAATAACATGCATTTTGTGCCAGGTTCTCTGGGATTGTTATTCCTAATTCAATTCCCAGTAGAAAAAGACATTTCACTCACTCCTAAAGTATGCCCAATTCTTATTCCACTTTTGCTACATACTAAGATATGTTCTGGACCTTCAGTCAGTGGAAGGAAAGGCAGGCTCAACTGTTTATATGTTGTTTTAATTCTGTTTAAGTTTTGTTAGTAAACTAGCCTGAGTATTATAGAACTGAAATAGATCCTTCTAGCTAAATAATAAATTAAATGACCAACTTAAAAACAAGATAATTTCTCTTTTAGGCAGAGGCGAATTGTAACAAAGATGACATCTGTTGCAACGATACAGCTAAAAAGAATCTATGGATATAAGAATAGAATAAAATGAACTGAACCTTCAGGTAAAGTTTTCCCATCAAAAAATGTAACAGGTTTGCTTAATTCTCGGGACACTCCAGGTACTGGAGAGTAAAGACGGAGGCTCTCTTTAATGCATAAGGTGCAGTAAGTCATCTTGTTAAGATCATCCCTGGAATATGTTGAAACAAAGTAAGTCAACAGATCAATTATGAGCCAGATAAGTTATTTAAAGCCAATCCTATGGACCCTCTGTACTGGCAGCTGTCATGCTGGTGTCTATTTACCGATAACTTCGTTGAGATTCTCTGCCCTCTCAGTAACAAGAACACAATCACAGCAGCAGAACTGAGAGCGAACAGAATGCAATCAGTGGCCACCCTTATAACATCTATAATCACCCAATATTCACAATATTCACTGATATCCCAAACCTACTCACTGGATGAAAAACATTGATCAACGTGTAGTTATAAAAGAAACAGAAAACATTAAAAAAAAAAAAGACTCTCACACAAATAAAATGCCAGGTAAATTAGAGGTCTGTGCACCATTTTGGAAATAATTTGAAAAAGGTACTTCAGAGTACACAGGGACATGAACACAATACCTCTTTAAAGCAGCTGCATCATTTCCTGTAGTAACTGCAGAGAGCAACCATACAGTTCCAGGAAAAGATTTTACTACTTTAAAAGGTTGCAGACAGGTGCTGGGTTTGCATTCTTACATGCTTTAAAGTACTGTTTCCAAAGCATTTCTGAAGTGCTGTTGTAGCAGACTATACAGGTAGTCCTTGGCTTACAATGGCAATTGGGACTGGAATTGCTGATGCTAAGTGACGCAGTCATAAAGCACAATGTCACATGGCTGTGTCACTTTGTGACAGCAATTCCGGCAGTCTCGGTTGCTGTCTTTAAATGAGGACCATGTGCGTCATTAAGCGAGGACCTCACATGACTGCGAATTCTGACTTTCTGCTGGCTTCCCCTTTGATTATGCTTGTGGAAACCTGGCAGGGAATGTCAGAAATCATGATCACATGACCATGGGGATGCTGCAACAGCTGGAACTCCAAGGACCTGTTGTAAATACCATTCGTTCACCGCTGTGGTAGCTTTCAATGGCCACTGAATGAATGTTGTAATCCAAGGACTAACTGTATTCACCATTGGGCAAGGGTTCAAACAACCATGTAGATATGAACATACAATATATTTGGGTTTATAAAAACTTATGTCAAAGTCCTGTAAATATCCTGAAATAAGAATACTGTTTTTATGAATTATAACTAGATAATATGGAGAAAGCGAAAAGAGAGAATAAAATTATAGTCCTTAAAATCTACCTAAGGAGTTAGCTATGTGATCCAATTTTGGATCATCTGTAAATTTCATAAGTACTCCTTCTGCCTTTTAATTATTAACAAAATGATTGAAGAGTCTATTTGATACCTCCCTTCAGTCTGATGAAGAACAATTGATTAATACTCTGAATATAATTTTCAAGCCAGGATTGTACCCACTTAATTGTCATGCAATCCAACCCACACTTATTAGCTTATTTATTAGAATGTCATGAGCTCTATACTCATGTCTTGCTGAAATCAAAGTCTATTATATCTATAGCATTCCCACAATCTATTAAGGAAATTATTTAGGAATGGAGAGAAGGAAGCAGGAATTCCAATAAGTAAGTTTTTAAATGTATAATATTTATTGACTATTTCAATCCTAAGGGACTCTTAGGTAGTGTACAAAATTTAAGTAATAATTATTTATTAGGTTTATATCCCACCTTTTGAACAGGTGTTCAAGGCAGCATACCTGGTGCTCCCTCCTATTTTTCTTCACAGCAAAAATTGTATAAGGTTGGTTAGGTTGAGAGAGTGTGACTAGCCCAAACTCAACAGTGAGTTTTTGTGGCTAACGATGGACTAGAACCTGGGTTTCCCCACTTGTCATCAAACCCCTTAATTAGTACATCACACTAGCTCTAATAATACACACAGTAAACAATAAGACCAACCATTCTGGTGCTAGTCACTAAACAATCTCAACCTCCAAAGGCCTTCTGAAAGAGTCAGGTTTTTACTAGCCCTTGAAGGCCATGTGAGTAGGAGCTATCCTTGTCTTGGGGTGATTGGGGAGGCAAGCTGTTCAAAAGAAAGACAGCCCTGACAGGGAGAACATATACCATCAAGCCCCCTCCCACTGCACCTTCAGCAGCGACTCCCCGGTTGTCCAGGTTGGATGAGCAGAAGCTACCTGAGAAAGGCAATCTCTAAGCTACAGAAGCCTTGGCAATATAGGACTTTACCACCATCTTGAATTCCATTTGGAAACACACCAATAACCATTGCACATCCCACAGCAACAATGTAACACAGCAGTACTGAGACTTCCCTGTAAGCATGTAGGTTGCTGCAATCTGGACCAGCTGAATTGTGTTATGATTGTATTTTTTTTATAAATGGTTTAGAGATATGGGTAAGCAGTGAAGTGGCTGAAGCTGCAGATTATCTCAAATTACTTATGCCACTGGCTGCTAAAACAGGGACTGAGTAACCCCTGAGAAAGCACAGAATCTAACAAACCTCTGCTCTTTCTTTGGTATTCTTCCACTTATCACTTTTCATTTTCTTTGCAATAATTGACCATCAATGTTAGCAATATGCTAGCATAGTGACTCTGTCCTGCCCAGGGAACATTTGAAGATAAAACTCCTCTATTGGACATATACTGCAACATCCACATTACAACTGCAGTTTCTTTATCTTTCCCTCATGAAGATTTTAGGGTCTTCAACCTTTCACTAAGGAAATGAATGTAACATCTGAAACACAGTGAGAGATACCACATCTCAACATTTTAGCTTGTCTTCTAAATTCTAAAATTCTAAACCTTTTGGGCTCAGCATGTCAAAAATTTGGAAAGTGCATAACTTGACTCTGCTGTCATGTTATCCCCCCAAACAAAAGAGAAACAATTCTTGACATATTCATTTATTTAAAAAAAAGACAGTCCGGTCATGTGTAGTGCTATGTATTATATTAAGAAATGTTAAATAATTACAAAAATGAAATACAAGTAAAACAAACTCAGTTTCTTTGGTAACTCAAACAGGGAGAATAGTTGTTGTCAGGGATTGGTGACCATTGATGTGTCACCCAAATGTTGTGGCATGTCACCTTTGACACAGATGTCATAGGTTCACCATTACTGCTATAGGCTGTAGTGTTTGCAAAGGAGTTATCAAAACAAGCAAGATGGCAGTTGTAACATCATAATTAAAGGCCCATCCCTTTTGTACATGTGTCAATGTCACATGCAAGTACAAAGGGGTGGGATTTCAATCATAATACCTATAGGAAAACTATCCAATAAAATATGGAAACTCACCACTCAATGGTGTCACGATCTCCCTGTTTGAGTTA